CGTAGTTGTACTTACCCCTCTCTTTTCAATATTACAGAAGCTAGCTCATCAAGGCAGGATTAAGGAAACAATTTGAGGCTTTAGATATCCATCCTAAATTTGTATGCCTTAATTATTTTGAATTCATGTGTATAATTATTTATAATATTGGCAACTATGAGACATCATATTTGTTCTTACTTGCTATATGATTTTTGAGCAAGGTTATATATTTTGGACCCTAGGTTATATATGTATGAAATTAGAAAATCTAGAAAGGGTTAAAATATTAGTGCAAGTGAAAAGTGAGTAAAATACGGGATTGACGTTGAATGATGTGATTATTCATGAATTTGAGGCTTCTCCTTTTGTTTTTGTTATCAAAGGGTTGAGCATTGAAATGAAGTAATTGTGCATATGTATGTGTTGTGGTGTATTGCACAGATATCCTATGATCTACTAAATGTGATATAGGGATAAGACTATGCTCTTGGCACTTGGATTAAAAATTAGACACCGAGTTGTGTTGTGAATGAAAAGGAGTGGGCTTGAAAATATGTGTCTAACTTTTGAATGAGAAAATATTTGAATATAAAACTAGTGGCATTATTTGGAGTTAGAAGAAAGCTTTTTGTAGATACATAGATCACATCAATCAGACATCAAATAGAAAAACAAGATGCGTTAGAAGTTTACCCTGGAAGTTATCATTTGATAGCTTTGTCATTATCAAAATTATGCAATGTATCGTGGCACATGATACAAAGAAGAACGTACACCTCTATTTTTTAGCACTGTTTTGCTGTTTTCAACTATAATGCAAATGCTTTATTATAAAACTATATCTCATGCTTTTGTAAACTTATCTTATTCTAATTTTTTATTTATAAAATTACATCAGAGTATTTTGAAAACTTGAAAGTTTGGGATCCCGTTTATGTAATGTTACAAATTTGGTAATCCTTATGAGTTATTCTCTTGATTGCCTCTGATTTTGGAAATAATGTGGATAAGTAAGGAAGACCTTACAATGAACAAGTAAACTAGAAAAGTTCTTAAGTAAATAAATAACATGTAATATAAAAATCAATAAATTATCTTAATATATAAACAATATTTTGTAAGTAAATTAACAAGAAAAGCAAGAAAGTTTTGGTATGAATTTAAATTAGGGGCAATTTTCTCATTTTCCTTAGAAATGTAATATCAAATAGATACCCTTAGACTGTAGTGAAATTTTAAAAATTTAGGAGTTTTAAATTTAAATTAGTTTGGTTCAAGAGTTTATATTTTAGTTTAAATTTAAATTGTACTCCTCCATTTAAAAATGTAGAATATTTTTTAAGAGGTTGAATGTTATAAAATATAAGACTTTTTAGTGTTTGTCAAATCTAAAAAATTAAAATTATTTGTTGATTTTGTTGAATCCAATAGTTAGATCTTTTAAATGAACTTTTATTATATGTAAATTAAAAACCAAACATACATTTAGACCCAAACGACATCTCATTTCATAGCGTCATCGCACTTTTCATATTTTATTTTATAATTTTATGTTCAACATCACTTGTTCCATAAATTAATAAGTATAAAATGTTCTACAGTGCCATTCGATGCAATTATTTTTTATTTTTTCATAAATTAAAATTATTTTTAAATATTAATTTTTAATAACATAAATTAAAATTAAAATTATATTTTATTTTTTATTTTTTATTTTTTAAAATATAAATTGAACTGCTCCATTTAAATATGTAGAGTATTTTTTAAGGAGTTTGATATTAAAAAATATTAAGTATTTTTTAATATTTTAAGGTGTAATTAATGCACTTTTTCCAAAAGTACCCATAATAAATAAATTCTTTATAATTTATTTTAAAATAAAATACCTTATTATATACTCTTTTTAGTCCTATTTATATAATAGATAAAATATATTTTTTATCCTATTTATAAATCATTTCATTAAAATTTTTTCATAAGTTTCTCTATTTAACTTTCATGGAATATTTGAGAAGAAATATATTATTAAATTATATATATTTAATAAGAATAAAGTTAAAAAATTATTAAGATTTCATTAAAAATACTTTACATTTTTTAAAATAACTTGCGTAAAAATAAAATAAATTATTATTTGTATTTGTATATTCTAATAACTAAAAAAACTTCTTATATTGTATCATGAATAAAAAAATATAATTAATAGCATTTGTTAAAAAAATTAAAAAATATAGTTATTTTTAATTTATTTTCTATAGTTTTAATCACTTAAATATTAGTCTTTATATTTTAAAAATAAAATTATAAAGATAAAAAATATTTTAAAATTTTAATATTTATAATATCTATACCCTATTTCTTTTAAACAATGTGGATCAGCATCGCAGGGGTCTAAAATTTAGTTGATATTATTTAATATTCTGTGTTAGTTAAAATAATTTAATTAAAATTATATTAAGAAAATATAAGTAATTTGAATTTCAATGCGGGCCAAAAAGAAGGTAAGAAGGGAAATACACACAAATCCATTTAAATAGGAAGTTACTCTATCTTTTTCTGAATATAATATAATATCTACCTTAAATTTTGTGAGTCATAAGACTTATAATACTTTTTAAAAAATATTAAAAATATATCCGAATAAGAATTTCATATATTTAAAATTAAAATGAATTCATTATTTAAAATGTTCAAGATCAACAAAGAGAGATAAATATTAGCTGACTTGATGAAATTTTTGGGCCATAAAATTAAAGACACATAAAATAAGAAAAAGTAGTACAAGAAAATCAGAACATTATTTATAACCCAAACGCAACTTCATAGAGAATTTTTATATAGTTACATATAAAAACTATATATTATATTTTATATGAATTATGATAATTATATTTATAGACCAGATCTTTTGACACCTCTTCGCACCTGGAGGGGACACCAACGTTCTGAACTCTGTATATTTTAGCGTTAGCCAAAAGCCCCTGTTCGAAAATATAGTTTTTTTTTTTTTCTTTACCTTGAGTTTGAAAATATAGTTTCAAACATATGAATGGTCCTCTTGGTCTTTTGAGTTACTGAATTTTAATATTAAGGCCTGTTTGTTTTTTATTTTTAAAACTATTTTTTATTTTTAATTTAAAAAAATTAAAACTTGTTTAGATAAATATTTTTCATTTAATTGTTTTTAAAATTTTTTCATTTTTTTCTTTTTTTAAATAAAAACAACTTCAATTTTTTTGTTTTATTTTTATTATTTTTAAAATATACTACATTTGATTATTAAAAATTATAATTACCTTGACCAACTTATAACCATCACTCTCAATTCATTTTTTAATTTTAAAATTATTTTTTAAGACATAACCAACATATTTTCATTTTATTTTGTTTTGAAAAATAATTTTAAGCACTATATTATAGAACATTTTTTAAAAATAAAAAATGAGAACAAAAACCAAATAGACCCTAAATTACCTTCTTTTTTTTTGGGAGTTGCATTTCAACTCTCAGACCTAACAATTTTTCAGGATTGATATTTTTTTTCTCATTTTTCATCAAATAAAAACGAATGACCAACTTCAGTTCTGTGTTCCTACATTGCCCCAATTTTGCTGCTCTGTGTGTGTGTGTGTGTGTGTGTTTTTTTTTTTTTTTGGCCCAGCAAGGGGGGCGAAGCCCAAAGTTGATTACACATTACAATCAAAAGGCGACAAAGGTCCCAAATCATGTTGCGGCACAAGAGTCCCCAAAGTCTGGGACAATATCCAGAAAACTAAACTTGCTTCTAGAACTCAGCCCTTCTCTGGCGATCCTGTCGGCCACTATGTTTGATTTCCTATACACAAAATGGAAACATACTTCCCAATCTCTCTTCCGAAGCTCGTATGTACCATAATCTTAGGAACATAGACTTGTTGAGTTTTTCGGCCATTGAGCATATCTATCAAAACTCAAGCTTAGCATCAGATTCAAATATAATTCTACAAAACCCGAGTTCGCATGCTGTCTGCATTCCAACTAATAATGCCCATTGCTCTGCTTGATTAGGCGTACAAAACCAAGGAATTTATAGCATCCTCCCGCCCACAATCCTTCCTCTGTTCGAAACACACCACCACGAGCAGCCAAAGAGGAATATCTCTCCACTGCTCATCAATATTGCATTTGTTCCATCCTGCATGTGGTTGTCCAAGCATTTGAATTCGGTCTAGGACTGAAATCATTAGCAATCGAAGCCCTATTGTTATCAAAAACATAATTTTTATAGATACTCAGTAAAACAGCACTGGGTTTGGCAGGTTTATCAAAACCCGTTTGGAAGACAAACAAATTCCTCCAATTCCACAACTTCCACAAGATCACCCCCCAGAGTTGAGGCCAGGACACATTAGAATTGGTCCCCAACTGTAAGGCCAGGACACATTAGAATTCCACAATTTCGCCGTGTTGTTTGTTAGAAGATCAACTTCTTGGGGGCCTTCTTCCTGCTGGGCTTGATGAAAGATCTTGCCATAGCTGCGAAGGATCATCAGAAAAATCTTCTCCTTATCTCACTTCTAGATTGAGAAAATATGAAGCTGAAAAGCAAATCAATTACAGATTCTGTTGTGTCATCTCTTGTCCACCTTCTTCTAGCACATGCCCATGACGATCATGATCCGTGATGAAGACCATAGTTTTTTTCAGATTAGAATCTTTGACACTGGGACAGGTCCATTTCAACATGGACAGTTTTCTTCAGATTAGTATCTGACACCGGCACAGGTCCATTTCAACATGGATTGGATCAAATTTTAGCTTACATTTTGAAGGAGAATCTGTTCCCTAACACTAGCCGGTTGGAAATCAGGAATCAGAAACAGTACCGATTGCTCCTTTAAGTTCAGGTATTTTGAGAAAGTGAGAAACATGTATTAGGAATACCTTACTGTCACAGGAGAGATGCTGGGCATCTACCAGCCATTCCATGTACGATAATAAATTTGGAAAAAAGAAAAGAAAGAAAAGAGAAGACAAGATTTCACAAAAATATTATGCATCGCTTTTTGCCCATTAAAATATGCCAAGTCTCTAGGATCCACTCAGAATCATATATGATGTCAATTCTCCCAGGCATTAGCAAACAAGCCTAATATACATACGGGAAACTGTTTATTTAAATTATAAATCAGTCTCATAAGATAATGAAGCAACCTCCAAGCACTTGATCAAGGAACAGGTAACATGCTCTCTTCACCATTGAAATACGCTTCATTCTTGTTAAAGGCTCAGTTTTTCCTTCCTTCACATAAGATAATGTGGTACCCATGCCTGAATCATCATTCATCATCACCAAAACAAATGTCAGTATTTGTGCCTGAATGGAGAAGAAATATGGCACAGAAGGTGTTAAATTAAGGAGGGAAAATGGAGAGTCATACGTTGACTTGAAAGGTGCACTTGTAGCTCCAACAGATGTGCTAAAAGCAACATCCTGAAATGGCCCAGCCATCTTTCCTCGAGGAAACCAGCCAAGGTCACCACCTTTCTTTCCTGATGGACATTCTGAATACTCTTGTGCTACCTGTAAGAACGTCAAGACTATATTGCTGATGATTTATCATAGAAGACAAAATATTTTTATTCCTCTTTCTTTCAAGTGACAGAACTTGTTCTGAGAAGCAATAGTTCATGTAAAAGTCACTGTCCAAGGTGGTTCTAAAACCCACTCTTGTTTCACCTTTTCTCCAACCAAAATGATAACTTCATGCCACTGATAAAAGTTAGTTGTTTTCTATTTTTGGATAAAAAGAAAACAAAAATAGCCGTGATTCATAATTTCTACAACAATAATAATCTTGGCTATAGTTGACAAAAAAACTCAGCTGCTATGACAGTGCATAGAAAAACATGAGATAAATATATAACAGGGGAAAAAATAAATGTAGCACATCCTAGAGTTATTCACCTTTGCAAACTCTGCTGGTGGCACCTTATCTCCATTGCTGAGCCAGCCATCCTGCAGCTTCTTGTATGCCTCATTGATCTTCCCTTGCTTCTCACATAATATATGCCTTGCTGCAGCAAATAAAAAGCCAGAGGGAAATATCAATACAAGAATAGAGTAATGAAGAATTGTAAAGTTTTCTAATAACGGGTACTCAAAGACAATAAAGAAGTTGCTACCTTTGACATAGGTGCAGGTACCTAGCCCATCTGCACCCTTCCCACCTTTTCCCTTACCCTTTGAAGTATTCTCATCACTTCCACTTGCTGCCTGTTTCCCCTTTCCCTTCCCAGATTCCTTAGGCTTTGAATCCTTTCCCATGCCTCTTAGAAACCAATTAATTTCTTTATTTCACTGAATAAGTAAAGCATAACCTTCTTAGTTAGAATGAGTTTACCCAGAACTTCAAGCGACAAACAAAAATGAATTATAAGCAATAAGTGTAATTCAACTAATCACAAGACACTCATACGATCTTAAAAACCATGGTAATTTTTTTTCCCTTATACTATCTTATCGCTAATAGAGTTAGGAAAATCTATCAAATTAATATAGATGCACACACCACGACTTTAGCATGGCGAAAGTAGGGCCCCATTACAACCTTTTAAAAGTAGTACTAGGAAACAGACAATATCATCATAATGGCTTTTAAAAATACAAAATTCTTGAGCTGAACTGGAAAACAAGTCTCAGATGTCAGACAATGTAAGTAGTTTACACGCACACGTGCAAGATGAAACTCTTGTCATCAATTTCATGGCATACATAAAATAGCAAAAGAAGGCTTCAAGTTGCCGTGAAGGGGTGGAAACCATCTCATAGATATACCAAGAGTGAGTTAAAAGTTATAATCCAGGTAATCAAAGAAAAGAGCAATATGAATTATGGTAATTGAACAATGAACATTCATCCTTATCAGTGTAGGGGTTGTCCCACAAGAAAGATACTACAGAGTCCTGACTGCAAGTTCAAAAAACCATGGTTATTTCTACATAGAGTACACTTATAAATATGAGGAAGGAAGAAGAAAAGAATAACACGACAGTCTTCCATTATTTTAAAAAGGAAGTTCTCAAGAATCAACATCAATGTCAAGAAGTTATATTTGGTTTATGATCTTTTGCATCATTTTTTGTAGAAGCTAACACTACATGGAAGATTGACAAGATCTTCCCATCATTCGAATCCCCACCCGCCACAAAAGAAATGAGAAATTCAAGGTATCAATGATAGCGCCTCCGCCATGATGATGATGAAGCTCATGCAAAACAGAAGGGCGAATGCCGATTGCCAACTATTTGAGATATACGCGCCCCCCCCCCCCCCCCAAAAAAAAACAAACAAACAAACAAACCACCCCCGAGGGGGGGTGTTGGGGGGACAAAAGTAAGACTTTCCTAGTTAATCAGATCCATAGACATGCCCACAAACCAAAAGTTGAAAATCCAACTAAACCGCTTCAAGAAGAGGCATTCCATAATGCCGACATAATTCAACGGAAACACATCCCCAAATGCAACAACTGGAAAATAGTACAGCCATGATTAATAGCTGCAAACACTGACCGCGCAGAAAGTTCTATATGCATTCCAGTAAGCATATTTAATACAAATCATTCCAAAGAATCAGCGCCAATGTCCAGAGAAAAAAGAAATCACGAAAAGACCAAGTAAAACAATTGAAGACGAAAACCCACCAGTATCATTGGAAAACAACGAATCTAGAAATTGTGTTTACTTCTCAGTTCTCACCTCTATCTCCAACAAAACTCAAGTCGGAGAGATTCTCAAGCGCAGCAAAGCAGGGGTCGAAAGGAATATGACAACAGCAATAATCAACTTCGTCGACAAAGAATCGGGGGTCATCTGTCTATTTACATTATTGCCCCTGACAAAAGGTTTCGGGAATATCTATACGTAATCATTGATCATGAATTATCCGCAGGTAAAAATGAATTAGCCCTAAGCCCCCTGGTGGGCCGGAAAGTAGCGAGCGGGCTTAGAATCGTTCTAACCCATTCAAAGACAAGTCCAGATAGCTTGTCTCGCTTAACCTTCCCCTAAAAGTAAGCTGGCTTGCTTTTTTTTTTTTTTTTAAATACAATTAATATTTATTAGGATGGTGCAACGGGCAAAACGGACTATCCCAAAGGACAATCCATAACCCGTCCCATTTTGCACAAAATGGACTAGGCCAGCCTGCCCATACATGGCCCGTTTTGCCCATGAGAGTATGGGTAGGTTAGAGTTAGATCGTTTTGTATAGGTCCTCCAAAAAAAATATAAAAAAAAAAGCAAGAATCTATTTCAATTCCCAAAACTCTTCAATTCTTAAACCAAATTAACAAGGAAAATTTATTATAAAAAAATATGAGAAAAGATCCAGAAAGAATAAATGATAAAAATGTTATCATAACTCTAAATAAGTTGACGTTTCTTTAAAAATTCAAGCATTATAATGCAATCAAGTACACTAAATAATGCAAATACAGATGGCTGCCTATATGCTTCACCAAACTTGTTCAACCAGTTTGAAGTTTATCAAGTTGTCTCCGACAATTTTGGGGTTTGTTAAGCTTCTTAAAATTATTCTTAAATTTTAGAAAACTAATAAATAAAGTCTTGTTTGCCAAATCTTAAATTAACTTAGCTCAAGATTAAACCTATAAGACATTTTATCTACAGCTAGACACAAATAAAGGCAAAATTGTTTCCCCTCCTTTGTTCATGTTCATGGACAAACAAACCCCAAATTCTGAGTGTCTTTAAAAATTAATTAAATAAGTCAAATGATAAATTCTAACCCCAAATTCTCTTTACAAATCACACCCTATGTTAATTGGACTCAGTCAGCTCTTAAAAAAAAAAAGCTTGAGGAAAAGTGACAGTCACAGCAAGTTCAACAAATGCAAGGAAGAAAGTAAGAGAGAGGAGGTGAAGTTATGCAGAGAGAAGAGAGCAACCAGAGAAGGAGACAAATTTTACAAAAAAATACTTTGCATCTATACACCACTTATTTCTATCTATAGGTGACAAGTAGTAAACCAACAATAGCCATAAGTGACAAAGACGAGTGATTAAGAGATATGAGAAATTGAGATGAGAGCGAGTGTACGACGCAAGGGCGAGGGCGAGGGTGAGATGAGTAGATGAGGATGACTGACTGTGAGGGTTTTTTTTTTCACTGGACACATCTTGCTTGTATTACTTGTGTAGTTAGAATTTTTTTTAATAATTAACCTCTAAATGGGCTGGGACGAGCAGCCCAAGGGGTAACCTGTAGCCCGTCTCACCTATTTAAATTAAATACATGCTAGCTTATTATTTTGACCCGCTTGTTTCTTTCTAAAACCACCCGTTTTTACCAAGTATGGGTGAGCTTCATAGGTTGTTTGATCACCCCTAGTATTTTCTCTCCATGCATAGGAAACATTAACAAAAACAATCAAAAGTCAATATGTGTACAATTCATTTCAAGTCACAAAATAAAATAGCCATATAATTTGGTGAAGTTGACATGTATTGTAAATATGATAGCACTTGAAAGAACAACTTCAAAATTCATATCCATCAACTAACTAAATACACAAGATGAAAAGAAAATAAAGGTGTGCCAAACTAAGCATTGCAATATATCAAGCAACAAAGGAGTGCCTAATATTTGATCTAAATCATGAAATATCTTTTTGTGCACAACATTTGAAATTGTTGTCTTGAGCAAATTATTATTGTCATGTGCAAATTCCCTAGAGAATGACATTGCATGAGTAATCCTGCTAATAGAGAATCCCTTCTTTCTTTTCTCCCATATCCTTTTATCCCTCTTGTATACATAATGATGCAAGAACTTTGAGTATTTTAATGTACATGCAAATGAATTACTTTCTTTAATTTTCATCCATGCTGGAAACTTTGATTCACATGCCTTTTGCTTGTCTAACAATTCTTCAATATCATCAAAGTTTGAAGAGATTACTGATTGTTAATTAGGCAAGTGAAAACTAAGCTTCTCAACACCAGGGTACCTATGATGGATAACAAAAGCAAAGATACGCCACGATGCTTTACATAATGATATGTATTTATAGCTATAGTATTACTGAATCTCATCAATTACTTTGCTTGAAGTCTTGTCTTCATTGTCCTCATATATAAAAGCAACCACTCTATCACTGCTTTTACTAATATATTTGAATAAGTGCTTGATAAAGATCGACAGATTGCATTTCTCCATATTGATGTGAGCTTGAAACTTTAAAATAAGTAAAGGATTGTATAAAATAAAGTATTTGTTATCTATATGCACTCTGTTTACTTCAATAGTTTTACTATCTCTTATGATACATACGATATCCATCATCATCAATCATTGTTATATCATTATATCTTTTTGGAAAATACTTTGTACATTTTTTATCCTTCATGCAAGGTGACTTTAGGTTGGAATGACCGCACGAACCATGTATCATATATTTTTTCACCAATTCATATAGTAGAGGGATGATTCTTAATCTAGAATTTTGGTAAAAATTACCTTATATAGTTTAGTAGGAAGGATATTTGATCGTGTCATTTTTATCAAGGAATAGGAGTAAGTGTGCATGTAGTAGTCCTTGCTTTTGGAATTCAATTATTCACACCTCTGCATGTTATGCAATTAGAATATGTCAGAAATCTAAACATTTTTATGTGTTTATTCACAGATTGTAAATGACTTTTAATGATGCAAAAATAACAGTAAATACTAACTTATACGAATTATACCAATTTTTTTAGTCTTGATGAATTGTATCACAGCCTATAATTTCAACTTAAATATTCTACATTATATATATAGTCTATCTGAAGGGCTGAAAGAGTTTCCCTTGTAAAAACATGCACTCTTTGGCTAAGTAGTATTGTAGGTAAATGCAAGGAATATATCTAGGTAACCTATCCACCTATAGAGTGCCATTGCATCTTAGTAATTTTGAATTATATATCTTACTCCACTAATAAATAATGAAGGTATTTTGTATTTACGTATAGCTCCTGCATTCCTTTCTCTACTATACAAAGCATCTAACAATCATTGGTATAAATCCATTCTAAGTTCTTTTTGATGTGTTCTTACTCATAGAAGGCATTGTGAATCAAGCATGTTATATCATTCAAAAATGAATTGTTGTAGTAATCTCTCGGGATGTAATAGCATGGACACTTCTATATTCCATGTCATCAATCTATATTCAAATTTCTCTTTCATATTTAGTCTCTTCCTCTTGTTTGTGTTACTGGAGATACTTCATAGTGCACAATATCATCACAATAACCATCTTCATCATATGAGAATAATAGAGGATACTAAAGTATGAGATAAGAGGGATGTAATTCATCAATTCTTTGAAGTGATCCAAATAATTGTAGTATTATGATTTCTCTCCTGTTGAATCACACATCAACATCACCAACAATTAAAGATGATACTTTAGAAGTAGCAGGAAGATTGTATGTATGACTGTCTTTCTCCCTAGAGCTTCTTAAGCACAACTTCAACCATCTGTGCAAGTTGTTACCTATCATGGATGAAGTAAGTCAGTATTGCTTGACAAAAGGATTTATGTCATATAAAACATACTTGATCAAGTTAACTACACATGGATCAATGGTACACTCCTTAGGATATCTGCTATCACAGGAACAATGGACAAAATTGATGAACTAAAGGACATGAAGATAAATAATTATGAAATAAAGTACGTGATAATCATGGCATTTGAGCAATGTATCTTATAGCTAATATTCTATTAGAAATTTCATTCTTTGTATCATAAATAAAGAGTTGACAATATGCTTGCCTCATAACATTAGAAGGTAACGAACTACCTATCGTATGGTAGTTTAAACTAGACAAAACCAATGCCTATAGTCCAACATCGCAATTCCTAGAATGATCAATCTTCCCACCCATAGATGTGAATGAGAATATGTTGTATGATCTTATATTAGTTTAGATTTTTTTTGATAGATTTGACTTCCTTTCAAAGAACAAAGAATACAATTATGCAACAGGTGTATTCATCAGGTGAAAAAACCTTTCCTCATAACCTACATATCGAGAAAATAAGACTTCTTCTTCTACCTTGATTCTCTAATTGCTCGTCAACCATAGTAATGCACCATAAAATTTACATTCACATATGTTAGATCTCCTAAGTCCATGTAATCTGCAGAAGTTATCTATGTTAGTAGAATATCAATCTAATGACAACCCAAAATTCTGTTTTAATTCATGGATATAGATACTTAATATATCTACCTTTTCATTTCTTGCTCCATGTTGCTAATTTCTTCACTGTTGAAAGCATTGTTTGATACTCCCAAGTTATTTATTTCATCTTAAAGACAGTTGAAAGTATGCTTTAATCTATCATGTTCAGCTTGAACACCTATCTGCTGGTGTCTTGTATCATATAGTACTTCACAGCATGAAATAATTTCTGTCTATAACGCATGTAGGTATTGTTCAGACATCCCTTTATAAGCCCTCACAATGAATTAAGGTTTGGAGGAATGCAAAATTTTATTATGTAATGTTTATTTATAGTACATATAGGTGCTTATGGTGAATCATGCCACACCGTACCATAAAGTTGTCCTCAGTTAACCAAATTATGTAAGAAGAAATAGTAGATTTGCTTGGTCAAGATACCCCATATTAAAACAAACTTTTTTTATTTCTTGGTGCATTATAAAAGCCTTCATAACAATACTTTAGACCTGAAAAAGTTCACAGTAAATTTGCAACGAATCCTAAAAAAACAATAGAAAAAAATGCACAAGGGTGCATAAGAAAGGCTATTATATATATATATTAGGCTATCTTCCTGCCTTAATAGACAACCATTTAGAACAGCTATAAGTGACATTA